CAACATGATGACAGAGTAGTTTTACCTTCAATGACCCTTAGTAAAAAGAGGACACAGTCTGTTAAATGATACATTGGCCCCAGCAGTTGGACGGTAGGTCAAATCAATATATTTCCTGAGGAAAAATGTTGAGGACATGATGTGCTTGATCTCAAAAGTAACATGGGAGATAACAGGAAAGTTATCCATGCAGTGTGTCTCCTGAACTGATAAATACCTGTTTTCTATCAAGAGAGCTGGGAATGGATGTTGTTAATAACCAGGGGACCATGTATCTGTAGCTCCAGACATCACCTGAATACCCCAGAATGTTTATCCCAGACTCTGTCTCCCTAGACTTTTTCATTAGCTCTCAGTTAATAAAGTCCATCTTAGGCAAGATGTGCTATACACTTTATAGCCTGCTGACATGTACACTATGTCAGTCATTGACCACACTAGATTAAAGGCCCTTTAGCTATAGATCCAATCTTCATGGTCACATTTGAGTTGAGCTTTGATGCAATAAATCCTAGGTGTTCTGTGGATTTTCTATTACACCAGGAACCATTTTTCCTAATTTGTACTGTGTTTAAACTTGCTTACAATCAACCACATGGTTTCATACATTTTATAAGTGTAGAGCAACAACTATTATTTTAGTGTGATCAAACTTTTCCTTGTTATTGCCTGTGGGTAATATTCTCCCAAGCAGCAGAGCTCTCAGCGACCCACACACAGAAAATGTGAAGACTGTGACCCTTAGTTTCCACAGACCTGTCAGTACCAGCTCCAGGGTTTCACTGTGCTGTGTCCACCCAGCAGAGTCATAACAGTAACAGTGATATCGCCCTGCATTATGCTCTCTCATTAATGGAATGATAAAAATGGCCTTGTGATCAGGCACTGGTGCAGTTAATCTGCCCAAGGGTACTGGGCTTCATTCCTTATACAGGATATATATGGGTTTCTAGTGTTCCTGCACACCAGATTGTTTTGTTACAGGATTCCCTGAGGTGATCACAGAGCCTGGCTCAGCCCAGATACTGCGTTTCTGGAGGGTCCCTACAAAGAAGTAGGTGAGAGGGATGTTGGAATTTAAACAGTTTCACAGTGAATATGATACTTGGACAGGACCCTTGAATAACAGGGCATACGGAGCCCTCAGAAGACCCTTCTCTCTCCTCACCCTCCCAATTTAAGTTCTGAGAACACCCTTCAGTACTTTCTGTATCTTGACTCCCATAGTCTGCATCTGTATATGTGTGCTCAGAAACTATTCTTTCTCTATACTTATCATACATTAAGGTCTCCTGGGGAAACCTGTTTCAGGTTCAGTGTCTTTTAATAGAAAGGATGTGGCTTCCTCGCCTGAGACTAGGAGCTCCAGGATGTCACTCCCTTCTGACCACACTTGAGGCTTGCTTGTGTGATAGCCATAGCATCTGAAACTCCATCTTTCACTGAGTGTGATAGGACCCACTTGGAATCTGGCTGGAGACAGGCCAGTATATACATATTGTGAGTCCATGGAGCTGGGGAACTGCTTGTCCTTAATTGAAATGAACCTGCCATATCCCTGATTTGAGATACATGAGAGGGTCACAGATCCTCCTAAGGTTACAACAGGGTTTGGCAGTGCAGACAGGGTGGGTTTGTTGTAGACACCTAGGAGAGATACATGTGGAATATTAAATGGGTTCACATAGTCTGGATTGTACCCCAGACCTGAGGTTTAAGTGGGGATACATTCAGAGCAAACTTTTCTAAAGAGTCACATCTGGGGACTCATATGATTCCTGAGTATCTACTCACCTGTCACAACCAGCTCCAGGGCGTCACTCTTCTCAGTCCACCCAGCAGAGTTATAACAGTAACAGTGATATCGCCCTGCATTATTCTCTCTCATGGATGGGATGATAAACTTGGCCCCGTGATCAGGCACTGGCGCATTCAATCTTTCCCAGGGTGCTCGGCTTCCTTCTTTATACAGGAAATATATTTGAGTTTCCATTGTTCCCTCACACCAGATTGTCACAGGATTCCCAGATGTGATCACAGAGCCTGGCTCAGCCGAGATGCTGGGTTTTTTGAGGGTTCCTGAAAAGAAGTAGGTGAGAGGGATGTTGGACTTTAAACAATTGCACAAGGAAAGTAAACTTGGAATTGACCCTTGAGTAACCGAAGGACACATGGAGCCATGTGAGGATCCATCTTTCTCCTGACCCTCCCAGGTTCAACTCTCACAATTGAAAAACCTCATTGGTTTGTGTATCTTGACCCCGGCAATATGCTTGCTGTATCAGTGAGCTCAAGAACCTGTCTTACCCTGTAATTATCACACATTAGGGTCTCCAGGGCAAACCCATTTCAGTGTCATTCAACAGAGAGCTGGAATGTCCTCACCTGAGACTAGAAGCTCCAAGATGTCACTCCCTTCTGACCATACTTGAGGGTTGCTTGTGTGATACCCATAGCATCTGAAACTCCATCTTTGGCTGGAGGTCATGAGACGCACTTGGAACCTGGCAGAAGACAGCCCAGTATATACATTCTGGGAGTCCATGGAGCTGGAAAACTGCTTGTTCTTAATTAAACTGAACCTGTTGTATCTCTGATTTGAGGTACATGAGAGGATCACAGACTGTCCTACAGTTACAACAGGGCTGTTCAGGGCTATCAGTCTGGGTTTGATGAACAATCCTAGAAGAGGTAAACATGGGAAATTAAGTGGGCTCACACAGTCTGCATTGTCCCCTGAAAGGCTGATGAGTGGGCATACATTCAGACCAGACATTTTTAGAGTCATGTCTTGGGATACAATTTCTGAGTACTGTACAAACACTCACCTGTCACCACCAGCTCCAGGGTATCACTGCGCTCTGACCACCCAGCAGAGTTGTAAGAATAACAGTGATATTTCCCTGCATGCAGTGTTGTCACAGATGGGATGGTGAATTTTGCCTTATTGTTGTCATTCTTTTGGGTCTGTCTGTCCCAGGGATCTGGACTTTCCTCTTTATGTAGCACATACATTTGGGTTTCTCTGGTCCCCTCACACCAGATGGTGACAGGACTCCCTAAGGTGATCAGCATGTCTGGCTCAGCCCAGATGGTGGGTTTGTGGAGGGTCCCTGCAAAGTAGAAAAATTGAGATACATCTCTTAGGATACTTGTGAAGAAGTTAAACTTGAAAATGACACAAGCTGATTGGTAAAGCCAGAAGGACACATAAAGACCCAATCTTTTCATGAACTCCTAAGTTTTACTGTTATTATCGACCCTTGTCTCCTGAATTCTGTGAAATTGGACTTAGGAGCTTGAGTTCATTAGCCCACCATATATCAGATCCTTCTTTGAGATCTTTTGTCAAATCAATTATTATTCAGAGAAAAGTCTAGGGTTTTCTTACCTGAGATTAGGAGCTCTAGATGGTTACTGGGTACTGACCACAGCTGAGGGCTGTCCCAGTAATAGCCATAGCATGTGAAAATCCATCTCTTTTGGGGATTCACAGGACCCACAGTGAATAGCACCCAGAAGTCCCTGTAGTACATATTCTGTGATTCCATGGGCCTGGAGAATTTCTCATCTTCCATAATTAGAATAAACCTGTTATATCCATGCTGTGAGAAACACTTAAGGGTCACATACCCTCCTGAGTTCACCACAGGGCTATACTGGGCTGACAAGGAGACTTTGCTGGGATAGACTCCTAGGAGAGAAGAGGAAACTTGTGAAGTTTATTCGTTAAAGTATACATTTGCCCCTCTTCTCGGATTTGAGAAAGGGACCTCAAAGTGAATGTAGTCCCTTTTTCAATGCCCTGAGATTAGGGATGAGTCCTCTCACCTGTCACCACCAGCTCCAAGGTGTCACTGTTTTGTGACAACCCAGCAGAGTTGTAACAGTAGCAGTGAAAATTCCCTGCATGCATTTTTGTCACAGAAGGGATAGTGAATTTTGCCTTATTGTTGAGATAATTTTGGGTCTGTCTGTCCCAGGGTTCTGAACTTTCCTCTTTATGTAGCACATACATTTGGGTTTCTCTGGTCCCCTCACACCAGATGGTGACAGGACTCCCTAATGTGATCAGAGTGCCTGGCTCAGCCCAGATGTTGGGTTTGTGGAGGG